CCTGGGCATTTTTTTATGTAGTTATTATACCAATCCAGTGGCAACAGATAGATTAAATTAAAGAAAGAATCAATTACGAAAATTATTCGTGTGGAACTGAAAGAGCGGATACGTTCCTTGTGCATAAATGGAACCATATGCTAACTGATCCATGATGAATCCATAGAACAATCATACGTACTCTTACCAGTACGAGCCGAAGAACTGGATGCAGATGAGATCCTGTTATTTTTTAATGATGAAGAGGAAGACGAAGAAAGCAGTGCCGATAGTGGACTGCCTGATAAAATTGAAAGTGATGAATATGATGCGGATGATAGTAAAAATGACAATGAATCGATTATGGCCGTCGTTGGAGATGAAAACGATTCAATGGACTTTGATAATAAAAATGAGAGTGATGAAAATGGAAGTGATGATAATGATGGAGATTACGATAGCGATGGTGATGATAATTAAGTTTATCATCAATTTTTTGTAATAAAATATTATATTCTCAAGTTAGAGAATATGTGTGCTGTTCGAGGAAGTTTTAATATCAATTTTTTCTAATAAAATATTATATTTTTCATACTGTTACTATAAAAATTAAAGTATAAATTTGCATTCAAATAAGTTAATAGATGTAATCAATGTTTCATTGATTTGAAACTTTATTTATGTTATTAAATATCCTGAAAAGTCGATATATTCCACTTCATGAAGTCATGTTGTTTATATGAAAAATACTCTGTAACATTTTTGGATTATTTTTTTATTACATTATCAAATATACATTTTCTTTTTCGAATGGCATACTATCTCATAGACTATTAACTTTTAGGTAATTAACATTTTTACACATCTTCATTCTGCAATCAATATTAATAATAATATTTCTCTTAATATTACTTGAACATTTTTTTTTCAAGTCATTTTGGATAATCAACTTATGTTAGATAATTTAACCTTATAAAATGAATCTTAATTCTAGGAATATATAAAAACATATGGTCTAAAAAATATTTAGAACAAATCACTTCTTCTTTGAGGCAGTGCGCCACTTTTTTTGGATCCTTCAATTTCAAGTGTCGTCCGCATAATAGGAATTCTGTATGTTCATAAGCTCCTCGGTTTTTCTGCTTCATGTGTTGTCTGATCATTTCGAATTTAGGACATCCTATTAATTCCAAATTGATGGTATTTTTGAACTTCCCAGTAGGAAATTATAGTAATGCGTCCGATTTTGCGAATCCCAAATTCGACATATCTCCACGTCTTAAGGTCCCTAGAGTCGAATACGACCGTTTTCCAGTGGACGTGTGTGTATATGTACGTATGTGCGTTTGTGCATTCGGAATTATTTTTCGCTTCGATTATCTCGAGAACAAACATTCAAACAAGGATGAAGCTGTTAATAAATGGTTGGAGATTGGGGAAAAAAATGTTGATACATTGAATCGTCAATTGCAAAATAATTTATCAGTTGGTAAAAAGATGAAAATTCAATCAACAATTTTCATTCTAAAATCACTGTGTGAAAAATTTATTTCTCAACAAAATAATGTGAGAGAAGGTGATCTCCAACATGATGTTAAAAGACCAAGTCCATCGATTGTTTCGAGAAATGAAGAAAGTGTATTTGAAACTCCGTATTTTTACAGAATCAATCATTAATTCGAAGCACTTAAATTTGATTGATTTTTTGAATGATGATAAGACAATTATATGTAAAAAAATTAAAAATGTTATTGATGATAGTGGCAGTGTGAAAGTGAATTTCTCCTTGGCTGGCAATTTCCGAAATGTGAAAGATGGTGAATATATAGAAGAAATAAAGTATTTTACAACACCAAATGAACTTTTTATGCCATCCAGTGACGTAGAAGGAATAAGAGTAGAGAAAGTCATTGATGCTTTATCAACAAAAGTTAAAGACTTTGAAGAACGAGATTCAGGGTGGTCCATAGTGGCAATCATTCATCTTCAAATTAACATTAATTGATATGATTCATGATCAGCAGGAAGAAGATCAACTTGGATTGCTCTACCAAAGTTTATTCAAGATAAGAAGGCAGTGTTAAATATTTAGAATAATGACCAATGTTGCTTTCTTTGGTCAGTAACTGCAGCTTTATTTCCAACTAAAAATAATCCCATCAGAACATCATCATATCCAGATTTTAGGACAGTTCTCAAGTATCAAGGTACTAATTGTCCATCCACCTTGCATGACATTCCTAAATTTGAATTAGGCAATAGTCTATCTATTGATATTTATGGGTTACACAATAAAGAGAAAATAGTTCTATTATATTTAAGTAAAATAGCTCATGAAAAATGTGTACATATGTTAATGGTCGAAAGTAATGTTGAGATTGATAAAGATAATAATGCAAAACCTATCTATCATTTTTGTTTAATTAAAGACCTCTCTAGATTGGTTAGTTCTTGAGTTTCTAATGGTAAAACAAAAAAATTACTAAGAGATAGGTGTTTGTGTTATTTTAAAATTAAACAGTCATTTATTAATCATCACAAAGACTCCATTAAAATGAATAAAACAGCAATTACCTTTCCTCCAAGTGATGAAAATTTAAAAATTATCAAAATAAGGAACAACTTCCATTTGTTATTTATGCTGATCTTGAATGCATTCTCGAACCAGACGATGATAAGCAGAAACATATTCCATGCAGTATTGCTTTCAACGTTCATTGTTCATTTAATAAGTCTCAATCTAGATTTTATTTGAAACGTGGTGATGATTGTATTAATTGGTTCATCTTAGAATTGAAAAAATTATCTGTAAAGAAAACCATCAAAGATGTTGTGTTAATGAAACCATTGACTTTACAGCAAGAGAAAACTCATAATGAAGCTAGAACATGTTGCATCTGTAATCAAATTTTTTTAAATAATGAAACAAAAGTTCATGACCATTGTCATCTTACTGGACATCATCGTGACCCTGCTCACAACAAATGTAATTTAAATTATCAATTTTCCTATATCCTGCCAATAGATTTCCACAATCTTTCGGGATACGATTTGCACTTTTTAATTAAAGAATTAGCTTCATCATCATCGTTTGGAGAAAGAAGTGATTTATTACCAATTAACATAGAAAAATGAATAGCTTTCACAAAGACTGTCAGTAAAAAAGAATTTAATGGAAACAATAAAAATAAAACTTGTGACGTTGCGGTCAAATTACAATTAATAGATTCCTCTATATTCATGGCAAGGAGCATTAAAAAATTAGTTTCATTTTTACATGATAGTAATAAGAATATTACGAAAAGATCCTATAATGATCCTGAACAGTCTAAATTAGTAGTGCGAAAGGGAGTTTTTCCCTATGAATAGATTGATAATTGAGATAAACGTGATAAAAACCAGCTTCCTGCTCAATCATTGTTTTATTCTGAATTAAATCATACCAACATGAAAGATAAAAATTATCAACATGCACTCGCTGTGTGGACTAAGTTTCAGTTCAAAACTCTAGGTGATTATTCAGATTTATATTTGAAAACTGATGTTTTATTATCAGCAGACATCTTTGAAAATTTTCGTAGAAATTATTTAGAGGCGTATAATTTAGATCCTTTACATTACCTAACTGTACCTGGCCTAGCTTTTGATGCTATGCTGAAATATACAGAAATAGAACTTGATTCTTCGCAAGATGTTGAAATGCTCAATCTCATAGAGAAAGGAATAAGAGAAGGTGTGTCACAATGTCGCAATAGATATGGAAAAGCTAATAATTAATTTATGGCCGACGATTTTGATCCAAACAAAGATTAATCTTACATTACGTATTTCGATGTAAACAATCTTTATGGTGCAGCAATAAGTAAATACTTGCCCACTGGTTTTTCAAAATGGGTAACTGAAAAATTTGATATCGGTAATATCAACGATTTGATTTTAAATATTCCTTAAACCACCAATCGGTTATATTTTTGCGGTAGATGTAGATTATCCACAATCATTGCATGAGCATCATAAAGATTTACCGCTATGCCCAGAGCATTAAAAAACCACCTGATAGCAAGAATACAAAGCTAATGACAACATTACTACCTAAAAATGAGTATGATATACATTAAAGGAACCTACAGCAGTGTGTTTAACTAGGTTTAAAAATTGTAATAATTCATCGAGATTTACAATTTAAGCAATCAGCTCAGTTAAAAAAATGTCCGTAATTAAGGGAAGATGGGAAGCACAAAATCTAATATCACAACCAAACTTTTATAGCAGCATTATATTTGATATAAATATGGTCATTATAGAATGAAACAACTAGAAATACAGTTCAACAAGCCAATTTATGTAGGGTTTGCAATACTTGATTTATCAAAAATTTGTATTTATGATTTCCATTATAATTATATTATGAAAACTTTTGAAAATGATGTTGAGTTATTATATGCAGACACAGATAGCTTAATCTACCATTTTACTAATGTAAACATATATGATTATGTCGAACGTGACATTTAGCAATAAGACACTTCTGATTATCCTGAAAATACTGTTTATGGAATTCCGTCAGTTAATATAAAAATTCTAGCTTTAATGAACGATGAAAAAAATAGAAAAATTATGAGTGAATTTATTGGGCTTAGAGCAAAATTATTCATTTTATCATACCATTTTCAAAAAAAATAAATATCATATTGTCAGTAAAAAACATGAAGTATGCACTATTTTGAGAACAGAAAAAGCCTTAAGTTGGCAAGATAATGAAAGCGATTATTAGAGGAAACTACCGATACTTTACCATGGGGCTATAAAAAAATGTAATACCAATTCGTAATTTTTATATCTTTTATTGAAATAATTACGAGTTACAAATATCACAGTCATAAGTTACAATTGTCATAGCTCAAGGTTTCAATTGTTATTTTATAAGTTCTAATGGTTCGTTTATAAATGAAACTATGACTATTATACTTTTTCCGATAATTATAAGTTTTTTGCCACAATTACAAGTTTTTTCAAATAAACTATATATCATTTGAATTTATCCAACTATTGTGTTCATTGTTAAATCCCAACCACTTTACATATGCTTGATTCCCACGTTTTTTTAGAACTGTTTTAACCGGATATACATCAGGATATTGGACTCCTGTTAATTCATCCTCATAGAAACCGCCTTCTATTAATTGGTTTTGATGGTCAGTTAATTTGAAAGTCACTAGATGTGTATTTTTAACTTTGATCATGGCAAAAATTTCAGTGGTCCAATTGGGAGTGTAGTATTTCTCAAATGCATGTTTATATTTACTAATTCGAACTTGTTCGGCAATTTTAAACTTATTTTTCTTCTTTTCTATCTTCAAAACTTTGAGTTTTCTATAAATAGTATCAAACAATTGCTTCTCATTGGCTGAAGTTACATCCACAGGTTTCATTTCGATGGTACAATGTTTAGTATTGTCATATGATGATAATAGTTTTAGTACCAGATCAATCCACTTATAATTTCCAATAAGAGTGAATTCTTTCCACATTTTGTTTTTTAAGTTCGATTAAATCGTTCACAAATTGATGCTTTGAGATTACTGAATGTTGAATACATTGTAATTTTATTCTTTTCCATGAGTGATTCAAAATCTTCATTATAAAACTCTTTGCCTCTATCAACGTGTACATTCTTGGGAACTCTTTTTTGTTTTCATATTGTCATCATTGCAGCAGTGACATTGTTCTGACTTGGTCTGAGGTACTCTACCGACGGCCTAACATTTTTCTCCCCACCGAATAATTAGATGACTCAAGGTCTCTCCTGCCAACTCATTTTCGCTAATTAGACAACAAGTAATTCCTAGGCGTATATATCCCTTCTCTAAGGGCCTAGAAGCTTCGAAAACACAGAGGTTTCGGGAAAAACGGTATGTATTAGTCAGTATTCGCTGGTGTCTGTGTGGCTGACGCCAACACAATGAAACTCAGACTACTCAAAAAAAATCAGGCTACTCCTGGTGCAGAGACCAGTACAGGAAAACTTCCAACTTTCCTGTGATCCTCTACTCATTAGTCAACTCATCAGTGAACTCTGTGTGAAATTTCCGTAAACTCAAGACTGTACAGACAATTCGAAGACTCTTTTATTGTTATTTTTCTGTTACTGTGATTGTAATGTTTAATAAATCGTTAACTGTTACTGTTAAATAGTGTCAGCCAACTCATCTACACCGTTCAAAAGTCCCGACTGTTCTAGCATCTGAACATCCTAAAAATACAGTCCACAAAGTCCTGACTTCTCACTTAGCCGACTTAAAGTCAGAATAGACATCTTTACCATTTTTAGTCTTAATTGGCATAGCCCAAGCATATTCAAAGAAAATATCAATAACTGTTGATGAATATTGATATCCTTTATTTTAGAATTTATATGCAGTCATATCAACAAGATCAGCTTTCCAAGTCTCGTCGAGACCACGTATATCCACATGCCGCCGTTGATAATTTCTTCTCACTAGTCTATGAAGCTTTTCTGCAATTTTTTTTTGTTTCTTTGTTCATAGCAACTAAGCTTTAGGTCATCCTTACAATTTTTTCTAAACGTTCTCCTCCAACTGTTTTATAATGTCACGAAATAAATAAAATTGATAAAATTCATTTATTTTATTCAATTCAGACTTCAAATTTTGTTGTTCTGTCTGTGATAATTCCAATTGCTGTTTTACTTGCTCACTGATATTTCCAATTTTTGCTTGGAGATTTTGTATCTCTTGTGTTAAAGATGCTTCCGTATTACTGATACTAGATTCAACAACTTTCAATGATACATTATCAGGTAGATCTACTGGATGAGCAAGGTTGCACAATCTTTTATTATTCATATCATATTGTTTATCGATTGTCAATTCAAATCCATTACGAGGTGGTCCACGGATAGCACTTTCTCGTGAATCATTATCCAACCGATGTCCAAAAATGTCTACACTCATCCTCACTCTTCAAGAGACAATTAATCAATGAGTAATGATATTAATCATCTGATTAATATATGATTCCAGTTTTACGTAGTTCTTCAATAATTGATATTGTTTTATTGTTATGGCTAAAATTACCAGCAGCACGTGATGAAATAAGTAGACGCAATCGATCAACAAGTTGATTGGGATTATCCCAATAAACATAGTCTAGAGGTCTTTCTCGTCACTTTTTGTTGTTATATTTTAATTAGGCCATTCCATAAATAGCAATTTCAAGAGACCAGGAGTACTTTAATATTTTTTATTACCGTTGTAAACAAACTTATCATCAAATATTGCCTCAGAGTTACTAATCATCAATTTATTTTTTCATTTTCTTACACACCGAACTTTGTATCCAAATCCTTTACTTGATATTTTGAATCGAATTTTTTCATATATGATACTGCAGGTAACTCTTTTATCGGTGCACTTTGATAAGGAGCAGTAGTAAAAGATTCATCATCAGTTATTGCACTATTATCTACATCATAATCAACAGTGTCATCATGTGTTGTTTAAAAGCTTGTAGCTCCTTCTACAGAATCTTTTTTAATTAGCTCTCTTTTTCACATTAAATTTTTCTGTTTTCATCGGTGTTTTATCCACTAATTGTTGTAGAGGAGTTACGACAGGCTTAAACACTTCGTTCATAGCTCGTTGAGGTATTTCCCGTCCATGATTAATAATTTCATGTTTCCGTCGTATTGCATCACTCGCTTTTGCAACAATTAAATGAACTAAGACGTCATGATGAAAAAATAGTGGCTATAGCTATGGGTGAAGGTAAATATTCAAATGGATACAAATCAGAAAAAGGATGAAAAAAAATTGAATAAGATTATCGAATGAAGCATTATCTGATTTTGATTTGTTAAAGTATACATAAAAATTGGAAATACTATATTTTCGAAATGTTTTCATGAGAATCAATTTACTATTATCGGGACCTTGGAGAAATGAATCAGCAATTGTCAATTTAGACAATAAAGATGGATTCGGAACGCATTGGGTGGCATGTAAAAAAAGAGGCAAAAATTTTGTACACTTCAACTGTAGGCATTCATGTTTAAAATTTTTAAATAGTCAGCTAAAAATATGATGTAGAGAAAAAATTATATTTCATTTGCATTTCAAGCATTATACAGTAAACATCATAGGTGATTTTTTGATATTAACACTCATTGGAGATCCATCATTATTGGCGGTTTCATATTTTCTTTCTCCGCATTATTCGCTATAAAAAATTACGTTCTCCGAGTTGTTAATTTTCTCACATTTGATTTAATTCCAAACATATATAAAGATAACAATAAATTTTGACATCAAATAAAAGACGAATGACGTAAAATATCAATTCCAACTGGGGCTTATGACCTCAATATTATTTATACATTTCTACTATGACAGAACCTGAATTAAATCTTTTATTAGAAGTTAAAAAAAGTGCACTTGTCACAAAACTAATAGTGAAAAATTAGCTATTGATTTCACATCTTTCAAACAGGTTTCAAACGAAAAATTTATAAAGCAGGAGAAATACATATATAAATCAGCAAAACCAACATCAATATCGAGTGTTAATGCAATATGTGTTGAGTGTAATATCACAAGTGGAGCATACAAAAATAATCAATTTGCTCATACAATTCATGCATCTTTTTCATCAGTCCCACCAGGATATAAGATTATTGAGTCACCATCAAAGTCATTTATTTTCTACTCACGGTGAAGGAAATACATAATTTACAAATACGAGTTTATTTGATCGTCGAATTATTGTTAAATTGATATTTAAATCAATTCGCGAGTAAAAGTGAATAATTGCGCTGACTAGAGCATCGACTAAGGACAAATTAATTGTAATTTATCTCGATCAGAATAAAAGAAATCATCTGTTGATAACGTTTAAATTGTTGTTATAATTTTTCGATAATTTTCATTCAATAAATTTTGTTATTGTTTTCATATAAATCACACATTTTTACTTTTCCTATCGAAGATCCCCTCATTTCTGTCTATTAGTCGAAAGGCTAGGACTAAAAAGAGGGACTTAAAGTCTCTAAGGTTAAGCATATGGTTCACATATTGACACCTTTAAAGAGCAAAATCACATAACAAAAGTTTTATTCATTAATTATTGTCCTATTAGTGTATTATGCTTTTTACATGGTTTTAAAATTTTTAAACTGAATTTATTAATACAAAGTTATTAGATACTTAAATTACATTCTATTTAATATTATGATATTGATGATGATGATGATGATGCTGATGATGAACAATCGCTCAATATTCTGCAACATATGGCAATCAATGATTCAGTTGTTCCATAATTTATGATCCTTCGAAAGTATTTTTCTTGTTCTTTAGTTTTAAAATTATAACCCTTACTTTCATTATATATGGTTGGATAAAGTTTTGATTATTTCTGAACAACACATGGGTCATTCTATGTTAAGAGGTATTTTCGGTGTCGAGGACTAAAAAAAATACTTTTCTTTATATTAACTTTATAATTAACCTATTCCCTACTCGAACTAAATGTTTTTCTCCGTTGTTTACTTAAATTTATTACATAAATGTACGTAGTTTAATCACAATAAGCTCTAATATAAAAAATAAGTAGCTCTTTGTATGTCCCCCCCACCTACTTTCTTTATAAACTAGTCATTATGAAGGTATTAAAATTTAATAACTACTTCAGCAACGCGGAAATGGCAGCAATTATACGAACATGTCTCAGGAAAAAGTAGAATTGCAGTGTCCCTTATAACTTGGTGCTGGATCATTTACAATCAAAGAATAAAATTTTATTTCTCAGATATTAGTTATCCTCAAGTATCGGTAAAAAGATATTTCGTAATTTCAATTCTTTACCTTTTGAAACACTTTAAAGGCATGAACGCGATTTCTTACAAAAAAATTCGCTAATCTTTTATTGTGAAATAAAAACGACAAACAAATTTGAAAGAAGTTCCTAGAGTTATCTTGTCAATTATGTACAGAAATTGTGTTCGGATCATCGAAAGGATCGGTGCAGTAGTTTTGAAGTCATGATGTCACCGACTTTGAAAAGTTGTGCAAAAAACATTAAAAAATCTAGTGTAAAATGTTTACAAGACAATTTTATCAGCTTACATATTATCATTACTCTTTTCATTATTAAAAACAAAAAATACACTCTATGAATATCTGTGTTGGAAAATGTACATGGTACTCGCTACATACATAAGAATTTTATCAAATTGCAATAGAAAGGAATAAAGACTTCTCACAATATCTGAAGACATGTGAAGTTTCTCATTATGATAATCTACTCGACCATGATCGGAATGTTAATCCTACAGTATTAGATAGCGAATTTCACAAATGTGAAGCTCTATCTATACTTAATTAAACTCTTCTTGATACCAAACTAAAATTGTAATCACCTCGAAACACAGTCAAGTTATATGCTGTTGTAAAAATGATGTATCTCAAAAAGGCAAATGCCTCGAGAAAGTTTTCAGACTTTCTGCAAAAGATAT